TTCTTTTTCCACTCACAATATTCACAAAATCTTAAAAATGATTACAAATATCCTAAAACATTTTCCTTTTGCTCAAGCTTTTATCCTATCACTATTTTAATATCCCAAATTCCTCTTTATTTTGTTTATAAATAGTCTTCATTGTTTAAGAGAATAAATTACTGCAACACTTAAAGTTAAACCAAAAAACATGTCTACCTATTATGATCAGTGGTAACTCGAATTCTTCGTTGATTTCCAAAAAGTTACATTTTACGTAATCCATCTAATTAATTACACAAATATGGGTGTTCATAAAAACCTAAAAAATTGATCCAAACCGAAAATCGAACCAAACCGACCAAAAAAATCGATACTTTTTAGGTTTGGTTTGGGTTTGATTTTGAATTTTAAAAACCGATCAAATTTGGTTTGGTTTTGATTTTAATCAAAAAATAACCGAAAAAATCCGAACCAAACCGACTATAGAAGTAGCTATTTAAATTTATTATTACACCAATATATATGTATATTTTTATATAAAGTTTCTAAAATTTTATGGTACATATTAGTCATTTATATTTTTAGTCTAGTTCGTTACTATTATAATAATCTAATTCTTTATTTTTATATTCTAGTATGATTGGTAATTAAATAATTCATCACTATTTGATTTAATTATCATCAATATATCTTGGTAAATGATAGATTTCTCAAAAAATAATTGGTTTGATAGTGTTACGTTGAAAATGTACTCGCCAGAATATATGTTTGGTAGTGTATGTCTCATAATTAAGAAAAAACCCGGTAAATAACCGAAAAATCGACAAAAATCGATAAAAACCGAATCGATAAAAAACCGACTTAATTTGTTTGGTTCTAATATTTGAAGAACCGACTTACTTGGTTTGGTTTCTTTTTAGGGAAAAACCGATCTAAACCGAACCATGAACACCCTTGTTCACGACACCAAAAAACCAAAACAAAATAAAATAAAAAATCAATAAATAAAAAGTGTGAAGTAGGGGGCAAATCGTCTATTTTGAACCTTTAGGGGCTGCTTTGACATTTCATAGAAAGTCGAGGTGAATAAAAGCAGCTACTGTTGTAAAACGTAACCAGGAATTTGTCCACATAAACCTCCCAAAAACCCTGTCTTGCTGACGAGAACAAAGGAGTCATAGGTATGTACTTTGAAATCTGAAATTTTTGCTATATTTTGGCGATTAAATTTTGTAATTATTCTTCTATTCCATGTTGTTTTTTTTTAAAAAAAAAAAAAAAATGAAATTTTAGTAGGTCACACGTGTAAACCCTCGCCGATTTTGATATTAGGGTTTTGTGTATTTTACCCAACTCTGCTGAGATGAAAGAACTTAAATTTAGATGTTTATTTGAGCTTCACGACTTATAAAATTCCAATCGTAAAATATTTTCTTATTGGTTCTTTTTTGTTTCTTATGTTCTGAATTCTGATCTGAGGTACTTTGTGACAATTGAAGTTTTCAGAATTTATGAATTCAGATCATTTTCTGCAATTAAAGGTGCTTGTTTCGTATTAAAACAGCTTTGTTTATTTTAATAATTTGTCATGCATGCACTTATGGGCTTTTTACCTGTTTGCTTCGGTTAATGATAATTACTTAATTGACTAGAGAAGTGACACATGTGGAATTTGCATTGCATTCGTAGCTAGTTTTTCATATCTTACATAGAATAATTTAGCTTGTGTTCCCTTTTTTCAAAAGAATGATTGTGGTATTTAGGCCAGCTTATGCCACCTTGACCATTTCACCAGTTACCTGCCAACCTGCCACCACCCACCAGCATAGGTATCGGATTACTCTGTCTCCCAAGGCTTAGACGAATGTGAAAAAATCACCTAGTGTTTTTTGTGTGTTATTTATTAGTTATTTGATATGATAACTCCCACCCCCAAACTGCACCCTACTTGGGAACCCAGCAGCAGCTTTAACGACTTTGATCCCTTAGTGTCTTGAACCCCGACCTCATGGTCCGATCTAGAGGGTGCTAAACACAAGGCTATCCCTTGTTACCCCGCACCCTCAAACGTAAGTTGATATACTTGTTTATTTGCCAAAAATCTTGGTCTTATCAGAATTAAGTTCTTTTGGCTATGGGGAGGGGAGCTACTTCTATGATAATAATCTTTGGCACACTTCACGTGTAAAAGGATTAAAAGATACTTACAGACATAGATAAGTGTCTTTGTCTTTCGTTCTAAAGATATTAGCTGGGGAAGGGTGTCAAATAAGGTGGGGGTATAAATAAGAAATTCTGTCATATGAGAGCCTTTTATATTGAAATTGCTTGAAACTACTAGAGCGCGTGTTGATACTAAGAAATTTTCTCTAGTTATGATTGCTGGAATGCAAAAGAGTAAAATCATAACTAGGGCTGGGTGTATTATGTGGAGATAACATTGTATGTAATTTTCCTCTTGATCTAATAAAAAAATAGTACTATGTGTTTTTCCTTTTCCTTTTTATTAGTAAAGGATGAGCGAAATGCAGTAAGATATTGCAGAGGTATTCTAGACTCTAAAGCTCTCCCTTTGTGGTAATTAAAAAGAGAAGAAAATTTTCAGAAGATGGTAAAATTCTTGTAACGGCTTTGTATTCTCCTCTCGTACATGTCTTCTTATGGGTGGTGCCATGGTGGTTAGATATTTGAAATCGGTCATCAGCACTTTTTATTCTCAATTGATCACGAGTCGCTAGAAGTTTGATCAGTTTAAAGTGTGATAGTGGAAAATTCAATTTGAAATGATAATTGGTAGGGTAACATTTTGGTCTGTGCAGCTTCTTTGATTGACAAAGTTATAATATTAAAGGTTATCAGTACTTTAGACAGTTACCTTTGTAACTGCATTGCCGGAAAAGAAAGGGACTAAACAAGAAGTCCCTGAAGACTTGTAACACCATACCACAAGTCATATGGTGGACTCTTTGACTTGAAAGAAACAGTAGAAATTTTGTTGGCAAAAGGACAAATATACTTGGCCTTAAACACATGTATTGCTTTACTAGCTTCTTGGTGCATCTTGTCCCTTATAAACAATGTACATTCAATGTTATACACGATACGGGAGTTGCACAATTTGTAATTTCTTTTTGTAGCATTGGCTCGGTGGGAGTTTACCATCTTTAAAATTTCTCTTTACTTATAAAAGAAAAGATAGTTACCTTTGATGGGGCTTTTGTCTTTTGGAAGGCTTGTTCTATTAATATCCTTTGATTTTTGTATATATTTTGTTCTTGGTTGATTTATGACTCTATATTAGAATGCTAATCGGATAGCCATCATCAATCTTTTGTTTCCTAACTCTTGCAGTTTTGTTTTTGGAAGAATGGGCGGACTACCAATAGAGAGCACTTCAATGGCCATATCTTTGTCGCAACTTCCAAAAGATGAAAAGGCAGCTCCCTCTACAGTCCCTGCAGATTCAAAGCCAAAGAAGAAGATTTGCT